GTTGAAGCACCATGGCCTCGGACTTATGTCAAAAAAGAAGCCATATTTAGAGGATCCAAAAGTGCAGCAGTTTTCTCTTGGCCAAGGCTCATTTAAAATGGACTGTGGCAAAGTGGAAAACTGTTCTGTGGTCAGACTAATCAAAATTTGTTTTTTTATTTTTTGAAAAACTGGGACGCCATGTCATGCAGACTAATGAGGACAGGATTAACCCAGGTTGCTATCAGCGCTCAAATCAGAAGCTTGCATCTCTGATGGTGTGAGGTTGCATGAGTGCATGTGGCATGGGCAGCTAATGCATCTGGAAAGGCATCATCAATGCTGAAATGTATATCCAAAGTTTTAGAACAACATATGCTCCCATCCTGACATTGTGTCTTTCAGGGAAGACCTTGCATTTTCCAACATGACAATGCTAGACCACATACTGCATCAATTACAACATCATGGATGCGTAGAAGAAGGATCCAGGTACTGTAATGGCCAGCGTGCAATCCAGATCTTTCACTCAACATTTGGCGCATTATAAAGAGGAAGATGTGACAAAGAAGACCTAAGACAGATGAACAGTTAGAAGTCTGTATTAGACAAGAATGGGAGAACATTCCTATTCCTAAACTTTAACAACTTGTCTCCTCAGTCGCCAGACTTTGCAGACTGTTGTAAGAAAAGAGGGTATGCCTCACAGGGGTAAACATAGTCTTGTCTTAACTTTTTTGAAATGTGTTGATGCCATCAAATATAAAATTAACTTGTTTTTTTTTTTTCCTTAAAATGAGACATTTTCTGTCGGACCAATAGCCCAGTGGTTAGCGTGCTGACATATGGTGCAGTAGCATGTCAGGGCGTCCTGTGTTCGAATCCCGGCTTGAGGACATTTCTCTACCCCCCTCTCTCTCTCCAACTTCGCTTCCTGTCTAAATACTGTCCTATCTAATAAAGGCAAAAAAGGTCAAAAATAAATCTTAAAAAAAAGAGACATTTTGCAATCTGGGCTGCATCCAACGCTTTTTAATGGGCTCACCTAACCCCACCCCTAACCCTATCCATCACAGTGACTAGTTCCTTATGAGTGCATTGTGTCTGACATTGCATCACTGAGTGATGCAGTCTCAGCTTGCATCATAAAGGCTGCATCCAGATACTATTGCAATCTGTACAGTGTCCTAACTTTTTTGAAATCAGATGTGTACATGTTGTTGATTAATGTATTAATTAACATTTAATTTTAAGCTAAATGTAACCAACATGAACTCATGTGCTGTTAATGTATAATTATGTCATGACTTTACTTGGAGGGGTACATCATAACTAATCCTGAACGCCTGTGTTTATACTGTTGATGTTGATTGAACACTTTTCGATTATTATTCAGTGTAAACGCACTAGATGGACGTGCATAAAGAGTTCATGACTAGTTAAGAATGGATTAATGATGATGTGCCCCTCCATGTAAAGTCATGATATATTTACATAGATTGACTTTCAGTTCATGATGGTTAAATCAAGCATAAACTAATGTGGTAATTAATGCATTAGTTAACAAACAATCAATTACTAAAAATTATGGGAAGCTGTTATTCACACATGAACTCTTGTGACTCATGTTGTAAAATTAGTTGATGATTAGCGCACGCATTAACTCATTATTAGTTTATAATAAAGTGATGTTTAGTTTATATATTAATACATCCTTATTCATCTACTGATATTGTAAAGTGTTACCTTTTTAACAAAATGAGAAGATTATGCAGTCCTTCATGAATTAGAGTAAACGGAGTAGGCTACAATCTGAAGAGAGCGCAATACTGCACCGGCCGGATGATTCAAACACTGAATAAAAACACTAATCTAAACAGGGATGACCATTTCATTCAGTAAAAAAGATACAATGTTACCTGTAAAAGATGGCTTTACAAATTTCCAAGGGCAGAAACTAGATTGGGTTTGACAAATATAGGCTATCATTAAAAATCACTGTCTAATATCAAAGGTTAATCTGAAAACCGCTGGTGTGGAAACTTAGAATGCGTTTGTCTTGCTTTACTGAAGATAGTAAAAACCGTGAAAGGACACTTGATCAAGACACACTTACATTAGTTGTTCTTAAAAATGTTAATCATGTGCGGCATGAGTGTGACTGCATGATTTGTAAATATTGCTGATAGTTAAAAGTAAATACACATGTATACATTTAACATAGTATGGAAGCCTGTTTTAGTCTAGGGATAAAAAAAAAGGCAATTGTGACTTTAATTTGTTTATATCTCAATATCCTCATTGCAAGATGTAAATACAATGTTCTGATAAAAGTTTGGATTTGTGAGATATAAATGAAAAATTCTGCCATTTGTTTTGTTTCTCAAAGATTATACAGTATATTGCAATTTCTCACAATTCTTCAAAAAAAAAAAAAAAAAAAAAAACCTGCAGCTAATTCTGACTTGAAATAGTGAGTGATAAACATCCATTTAATTATTTCATTTAAATTTAAAATCTCACAGTCCTGAGTGCACTGTAAAAAGCAATTGCTTAAAGAAGTGAGTAAACCCTTTGCCTTAAAAGTGGCAAGTTGATTTTACTTACAAAATGTACATTTTTGTTGCAACTTAGAACTATTAAGTTACTAGCAAGCTACCCAGGGGTCCACCTCTCTCTTTGGACTTGCAGCCTGGGCCCCACAGGGCCCCCCTGCCCTCCACCTAAGGTGTCCCTGACCCCAGCAAGCTACCCAGGGGCCCACCTCTCTCCTTGGACTTGTAGTATGGGCCCCAGAGGGCCCCCTTGCCCTCCACCTAGGGGTCTTTGACCCCAGCAAGCTACCCAGGGGCCCACCTCCTTCTCTGTACTTACAGTCTGGGCCCCAGAGAGCCCCCTCTTTTTTTCAGCATATCTGTTTTCAAATGAATACTGCAATTATTACAATATTACATATTTGGTGCTTCATTATGTTATATTCGTTATTCTATAAAATCTACAATTATAGCCTGTGTTGTATTTATAAGACATGGTGGAGTCTGGATTTTAGCCATTTGGCTAGATACAGAAAAGCCGAATATATATATATATATATATATATATATATATATATATATATATATATATATATATATATATATAATGTGTATTGGAAAAAGTGATTAGTTCACTTCTATATAAAAAAGTGAATACAATTTTGCATAATAATAAAATTAAGTCAACTCGACAGTTCCGAGTTACAATGGGTTTACTTACACTATTTTTGTAAAGTCAACTTGTTTCTTTAAAGGCAATTGGTTTACTCGCTTTAAGTAAGTAATCACTTTTACAGTGTACTTAATCATTTACTTACTCATTTTTTTAAAGTCAACTATCACTTTTTACAGTGTGACTTGCATTTCTGAAATGAATTACTTAAAACTGAAAGATAGAAACCATTCAAAACTGAGAAAAATATAGAAAAATTGATAACTGATTTGATAAGTAAACTCTGAATGATTAGATATAAACACAACTCTAAGAGTAAACTGAAGAGATTTAAATGTACACTAATTTATTAGATTTTTTAAGGTAAGTGGTTTTCACCAATCCAATATTTGCACAACATCCATAGTGAACTGGCTGGCATTACTGTTACTGTTTCTTGTCTTGTCCTGTCTTATTTGCACTAAATATTGCACAAACCACACTTTGCGCTCTTATTCTAATTTTTGTTTTAGTTCATCTTGTTTTATTTCATTCATCTTGATGTTTATAGTAGTGTGTAGACCTGTGTTATGTTGTCAATTTATGTTGTTTGATGTAGCAATTTCGTTTCACTGTGTTCTGCACTGTATATTGTTGAAATGACAATAAAAGCCAAGTTGACTTGACTTGAAACCACTTCTATGGGCTCAATTTAAACAAACAAATTCATTCATTTTTTTCAGCTTAGTCCCTTTATTCATCAGGGGTCACCACAGCAGAATGAACCGCCAACTTATCCAGCATATGTTTTACACAGCTGATGCCCTTCCAGCTGCAACCCAGTATTGGGAAACACTCATACACTCTCAAATTCACACCAATAGCGCATGTGTTTGGACTGTAGGGGAAACTGCAGCACAGAAATAACTGACCCTGCCGGGACTTGAACCAGCAACCGTCTTGCTGTGAGGGGACATTGCTAACCACTGAGCCACCGTGTCGCCTATTAAACAAACAAATTAAATTAAGTAAATTTGTTTAAAATCAGCCCATATAAATTTTGCAACCACTTACCTTAAATTAATCTAGTAAACCATAGAATCAATTTGTTTAGTGTAGAATTTTATCGTATTTGGATTTTTTAACCAAAATTCTAAGTTTACATCCAATAATTCAGACTTTTTTTCAGAGATGTACGTTTACACATTTTAGAGAACTCAGAATAGGTCCATATTAATATGAATTTCTGAGAAAAAAAGGGAGTTGTGAGATGCGAGCTTAAATGTGCACTATTCCTGTTTCTCTTTACATTCTTAACTGAAAACAGGCTTCCTTAGTATATTAGAGAACACATTTCATGTCAGCAAGTAGAGCACTAAATGAATGATATTGCTGTTACACGCTCATTGTTATTCATAATCAAATCTCATAGACCTATGTTTGGTGCTACAATGGAAAAAGCTACAAAAGGAACAGAAAAACCAACCCAGGTTTATTCTGATTACGCACCCCTATATATATTTCTGGAGAGAGCAAAAATACGTCCCAGGTGCTACGTTTTATTGCATGTTTTGTTTTCGCGACTCCCCGAAAGGCCGCTTATATGCTTTTTCAGACCTCAGATTTCTTTTGCAAGTGCCATTCGCACCTGCTGTTCTCACGTAAATCCAGCAGAGGCCGCTTTCCAGACTGACTGACTGATAAACCAACCCACCCCCTTCCTTAAACCCAACCAATTGTGTTTTTAAAAAAGCAATTCAGAAAAAGAAAATACCCCTGATTTTTACCACGTTTTCAGATTTTACCACATTCTGACCCAATTATTTGCTTAATTATTTTTTTTTTAACGTTTCTGTTTTTGTCTTACATGCTTTCTGGAACTATTCTTCGCCAGACTCAAATCCAGTTGCTGCGGTTAACTCTGCTATGCATCTTAAGTCCACCAATGTACTTCGAGCTACCAGACAAACTGGTAACAGCAGGAAAGCCGTCCATACATAGGAAAGCAATGGTAAGCGCAAAAAGGAATGGCGTCATACCTCATTTGTGATCTCCAGAAATTTATACAGGGCTACGCTTTCAGAATGAACTTATGTTGAGAAAAACAGTTGTGCGATGATGTCAAGTGCTAAAGAGTTTTAAAAGAGTGCACAATTTTTATACCTCTAAAAGTTGTACATGATGAATTGTGTACACACACACTCTCAATCTCTCTTGTTTTTATATCCCGATGGGGACTATCAGCGGAGACTTAAACAATCTGCAGTTTTTTACATTTTCAAAATACCTCATTTTGTATGATTTATAAGCACATTTACCAGTAAGGACTTCATCCCCAACATGTTATAAAAACAAGTGCGCACACACACACACACACACACACACACACACACACACACACACACACACACACACACACACACACACACACACACACACACACACACACACACACACACACACAGACAGACAGTGGAATGGACGAGGAAGGTTTGCTGGAAGAAAGGACAGCTCAGATTTATGACATCTGTTTACTTCAGTTCAGAGGACGAAGGAGGAGAAGAGCCCAGAATTGGAGACTTTGGTGATACCTGTTGAAGAAGAAAAAAATTGGGGCAGATCATGTTATTCTATCATTTGTACCCTTAGCTATTGGGTGAAAATAACAGTCGAAAAACACTTACAGGAGAAGGCGGCTTGGCAAAATTGAGGTGTGCATATAGAAGCACAGCAATGTCATTCTGACTGGCCTCCAACGCGATGGAGAGAGCAGTGCTGCCATCCTGCAACACAAAAACACACACGGTCATATACTAAAACATACCGCCAGGTACAGTGCATCCGGAAAGTGTTGTTAGCGCTTGCCTTTTTCCACTTTTTATCTTACAGTCTTATTCTTAAATGGATTAAATTAATTTATTTCCTCAAAATTTAATACACAACACCCCATAATGACAATGTGAAAAAAGAGTTTTTGAAATTGTTGCAAATTTATTATTGATAAAAAACCTGAAAAATCACATGTACATCAGTATTCCCAGCTCAATACTTTGTTGATGCACCTTTGGCAGCAATTACAGCCTTAAGTCTTTTTTAAATATGATGCCACAAGCTTGGCACACCTGTCTTTTGGAATTTTTGCCCATTCCTCTTTGCAGTACCTTCCAAACTATCAGGTTGGATGGGAATCCTTAGTTTACAGCCATTTTCAGATCTCTCCAGAGATGTTCAACAGGATTTACGTTTAAGCTCTGGCTGGACCGCTCAAGGACATTCACAAAGTTGTTGTGAAGCCACTTGAATGCTTATGACTGGTTTTGTGGTCTCTTGTTTAAAAAACAAGCCTACGTTTATACTGTCAAAAACACTTGATTTAAACTGCACGTTAGTGCATGATTCTGAATGTTGTTGATTTAACAGACAGAAGCTTTCAAAAGTTGATATTAGTTTACCAAACCTGCTTTATTGTTTATTTGTTTTTAAGACATACTAATCATCAATTGTATACCACACTTAAAGGGCCATGAAACCCCCTTGTTTCAGCAGGTGGTTTTCACACCTCTACTTTAAAAAAAAAAAGTCAGGAAAGTGGGCGTGTCCAGCTCTGTTTAGAGGGGGGTGTCGGAGGAGCAAAAAAGGGAGGGTCTGTAAAGAATTTGCATAACAATGGGAGTGTCGGTTTGGGCATGCGCTGATTTTCAGAGTCAAAACACACACACACACACACACACACACACACACACCACACACACACACACACACACACACACACACACACACACCACACACACCACACACACACACACACACACACACACACACACACACACACACACACACACACACACACACACACACACACACACACACACACACACACAGGGGAAAAAGACAGTGATTGTGTTTACATGGACATCAGTAATCAAATTATTTTACAGATTATTAAATGGTGGACTTGGACTTGGGCTCTTTCATTCAGGAATTTCATTCATGCCCCTTGTGACAAAGAAGATATTTGATTCGAGGAACTGCTCTAAGCATGTATTTTTCATGAAATGTTTGTTAACGCATGGCGAATGAGACAAAAAAACCCTCTGCATTTCCCGGAAACTTAGATGTACTCGGCAGGTAGCGTCAGAAAGCCATGTGTGCTATTCCTGTCACAAAATGCGGTGAAAATCCTACACGACGGTAAGTTTGATTGTGGTGGTTACATGTTTACACTCGGTGTAATAGTCAGTTCGATATGAACTAACAAAAACATGTGTCCCAATAGTGTTTTTAGCACTGTGGGACACATATACGACTGTCAACTCTCAAAAAATGTGTTTTGGTGTTTCGTGACCCTTTAAGATGCAAAGTAAAAAAATAAAATGTATAGCTAAATATAAGAGTGAATGTAAATAATACAACTGCTGCCCTGATGTGTTGATACTGACATTATCAGTGAGCGTGGCGTCACAGCCGGGCACAGACAGCAGCTGGCGCACGATGTCCACATGTCCATGTTCACAGGCGCACATGAGCGCTGTGGAGCCGTCGTCATCCCGCAGGTTCACCTGAGCTCCACATGCCAGCAGAGCCTTCACCATATCCCCTCGACCATGACTGACTGCCAGCATCAGTGCCGTCTGCCCTGCCTGAACAAACCCACACACACACACATACACACACACACACACACACACACACTTGAGTTTTCATGCTTTATGGGACATAACGATTTTTATATTGTAAAGACCGAATTTTTTTATCCGCTTATCCCGACTATACCAACCCTCACAGAAAACATCCTGTCACTGGTAACACTTTACAATAAGGTTGCATTAGTTAATATTAGTTAATGCATTTACTAACATGAACAAACAATGAACAATACATTTACTACTGTATTTATTTATGCTTAGTTATTAGTAATAAAGTTATGTTAAACTTGTTTACTAATGTTAACAAGTGTGACTTTGGATTGTAATAACGCATTAGTAAATGTTGAACTATGATTAATAAATGCTCTACAAGTATTGCTCTTTATTAGTTCAAGTTAATAAACACATTAGCTAACAATAACTAATGAAACCTTATTGTACAGTGTGACCCTGTCGTTTATGTTTTCGAAATATTTCATTCTGATTCATGAGCAGTTTCCTCTTCAAGGACAGAAAATGGGTCTTTCTGCATTTTTACAAGTTTCAAACAACTTTGCTTGTTTAATTTCTATATCAGATTTATAAATGTGGACTTCCCCAAATATAGGTTTTTTGAGATTTTGTCAGGTTTTGCTTTCATTTGGCTACAGATTAGATCCCTAATCACCTACTTATACTGTGCCATATGCCCTGTCAAAGATAAAAGTATGAAGCCTTTTTTAAATTGTGTGTAATAGAAAAGAAGGCAATATTCTAAGAAGGGTAGAGATAAGGATGCTCTGTTTTGTCACATCCTCATTTAAAAGAATATCTACTGTATTCACAGGTCTTTCTAGCAGAGGAATTGTGCATTCAAAACCACCCGAGGACTCTCAGTTAATGACTTTTTTCTTTTTTACACCTAATTATTTACCAACGTTGAACATAAAACAATTATTTTGTCCCAAAAAAATCTCAAAATTGTGTTGTTTCAACTCATTTTAAATAGTTAATGAGTTAAGTAGTGCAAACAGGCAGCAAAACCATTTTGTCAGTGTAACGTCTTTTTCTTTCTCAGAAGTTGCATCTGAATTGGTATTTTAACACATTTACAGAGCATTTATTGGAGTTAATAAAATAAAGTTTTGAAATCATAAAAAAAATGTAAATGAGGAAAAAATTGTAATTTCTGCACTCTAAAAAGGACGTTTGGTGTTCATTCAAGCTACTTATTTAAATTGAGCAGAAACAACACAAAGTTTTTTGTGAGGACATCATTATTTCATGCTCAATCCGCTTAATTTTGTAAAAACTAATAAGTTAATTTAATTTCTTCATGTTCTCTCAACACAAATCGATTGTGTGGAACCCAACATTTTAGTGTAGGCTGAATTATCTTATGATGTCCTTTCATTTTTATTCACATTAAATTATTATGAATATATGAAATATATAATAATCCTCTTTATAATAAGCTGAAACTGCCACTAGGTAGCGATAAATGTGTAAAGAGTCAGGCGTTCATTTAGAACGGAGACATACTGTAATTATGTTTATCAAATGGTATTAATAAATTCTGTTGGCACTTAAAATTAAATATGCGCTTAAATAAATATATGCTAAAATATGAAATTATGAAATATGAAATCTACAAAAATATGCATTATTGTGTCTAAAATGGCCCAGAAATCAGAATGTTATTTTATTGTTTAACCGGAAATAATTGAAGAAACTGGTAACTTTGAAAAAGGGTTTCTGCAGGTTTCACCAAGTTAAATTTAAGATTTTTAAAGACCTTTTTAAGACCATTATGAAGGAAATTTTAGACTAATACAGGGTTAATTAAATGCTAAGGATTTTTTTTTTTCAAATATCCCAAAGACTTTCACTTGCCCAATCAAAAATGATTAGAATTTAACACATTTAATAATACAATAATAATAAAAATTTTACATAAAAAATTTAGGTCAGGTCAATATACTCAGCAGCAAATAAATGGAGAACTTTTAAACAAATGTTACTGTAAGGAAAGTAATTTAAAAAAGTAAAATGCTATTTTTAAATAAAACACTTATTGATATTAGAATTGTTGATGATTGCATGAGCATACATTCTTGTATGATTGGATATTAATGGCCAGATTGGGTAACTATACATGATCAAAGGAAAGTTAAGACCTGTTAAAAAAGATTTAAAACCTACATCACAATATGTCGGTAGATTTAAGACTTCTCAAGGCCTAAAATTTTACTTTTGAAATGTAATACATTTTAAGACTTTTAAGACCCTGCGGACACCCTGAACACTCCTTTATTAATACTACTTGAATAGATTTTTTAAGTGTTTCATTAGGAAGGGCAATTCAGTATGTTAATTGAGTGCCAGAAGGGGGCGCACCTGGCTGGCTTTGGCATTGACGTCGCCGGTGCGGAGCAGCTGTAGGACGGTCTGAAGGTCACTGTCCGAGCTGAAGGCAGCCAGAGCCGTCAACATGATGGCTGTGTAACCAGCCTTGTTCTGCTTGTCAGCATTACAGAGACCTGCAAAACAAGGACAGCTGATAAATGCGAGCTGCAGAAAGAGGTCTGTCACAGGCTAAAAATATAACTGGCCACAATACAGTACAGTACAGTTCAAAAACAAGGGGGCAGTTTTCTGTCTGACATTTCTTCAGAAAGTATGCATTAAACTGACCAAAAATTACATAGATATAAAATGTATTTTAAAATACATCTGGGAACTCGGGTTTTAAATTTTAGGGTTTAACCCTTTTCAAGTTCTATTTTTTTTAACATATTTTAAGTGCTTTGTTTATTAAAATGTAATTTATTAAATTTATTAAATTTTTAAATCATTAAATTTTAATTTTATTAAAACTATTTAATATATTTATCTTTTTTTTTTTTTTTTTTTTTTTTTTTACTTATTTTTACATGTTTTGGGAAAAATACATACATATACATATTTTTTCTGACAAAAATATTCATCCACTAAGATTGCATGTATCACTGTTTAATGTACAAGTCTATTAAAAACATGAATAGTTCAGGTACATTTTTTTTTTAAGTATGCATTATTCCCTTCGCAAGTGAGGAAAATTGTAATACAAAAATGGTAACTTCCAGATAAATGAGCTTAAAACAAAGAACAACCTACATATAATGCTTTATTATTTCTTTTTGCATTTTATTCAGCATAGATGCATTAAATTAACAGTAATTGTGGTTAAAGAAGGTAAAGTGGTACAAATTTTTACAAATAAATACCCTTTGAACATTAAACATTCTTATAAAAAATAAATTGCGGTTTTGGATATAGTTTGAATACTGATACAATTTATGTAGGACTAATTAATAAGCAGCCAATAAGGGGCCAAGCAGTGCAGAGCCAGAATAAGCAAAGCAGTCCAGAGTCAGAATGAGAAAAGCAACAAGGTTAGTAAGCAGCAACAGACCAAGTGAAACAATCAGATTTTGAATATATTTGAAGCATTTTTTACTTAAAATGTCAGAAAAGCATGAAAACAGTTAATGTATGAATGATTTATTGGGGGCAGCGCAGTGGGTAGCACGATCGCTTCACAGCAAAAAGGTCACTGGTTGGAGCCCTGGCTGGGTCAGTTGATATTTCTGTGTGGAGTTTGAATGTTCTGCTCCCTTCCAAAATGATCTGAAGTGCCCCCGCTGTGGCGATCCCTGATTAATAAAGGGACTAAGCCGAAAAGAAAATGGATGAATGAATGAATGAACGAATGGATGATATATTGGTTTATAACCTTTGACTAATAGGTGGCAGAGTTACAAATTTGATGTGTTGTAGTCAGTGTTAGGTGACAATGAAGAACCTAATGTTTGGTGTCAGTATATTTAAGCATTGCAAAGAGACGGCCTCAAATACAGTTTGAAGTTATACACATTTGTTGGTGCCGTAAACAAAAACGGTTTTGCCTGTTGTCACGAATTTGAACATTTGGTCATCATGGTCTGACGATGATCTTAGTGAAATTTAGTGAAATTTCGGCAAACAGTCTAGGAGGAGTTTGCAAAGAAGTAATTTTTTTATATATTTTACATTTTGATCTTACTTTTTTAGTCCGTCTAATCAATAAAATGCAGTCTTAGTCAGCATAAGACACTTCAAATTATATTGAAAATATATTATGAAAAAATATATTTAAAAAAAATTAAAAACATTTAAAAAATATATACTACAAAAATCTTACAGACCCCAAACTTTGACCAACAATATAAACACACAAACTTTAAAAGGAAAATCATTAAAAGTCACTGCCCCAATCAATAAATACAAAATATCAGTGATTAAATATTATTGTCACTTTTAATATACCAATTCTTAATATACCAATCCTATTTCTGTTCTTTCTGCAACATAAACAGGAACAGGCAGAACATTGTGTCAGAAAATGTGCTCTGGATGTGCGGCTGGTTTGATATCAGCAGTGCGGAGAACAATCTCTCACCGGTGTCCAGCAGCAGCTTCACTACAGGGAAGTTGGAGTGAGAGACGGTGTAGTGCAGAGCCGTGTTTCCATTGCCGTCGGCCATGTTGATGACGAACTCCAGGAGCTGAGGGGAAATAGAAGCGAACGCGTCCATGTGGGCCTTCACCACTGCGGTGTCAGCAGCTTTATGACAGGAGACCCGGAGCCACTCCTGCAGGACGCTGGTGTAGGCCGTCCTCTGAAAACACACAAGGCGCAAACAGCCTTTTAAAACAGACAGTATAAAAGGTCACATTTTAATTTGATAGTCTGTTTGTTGAATTTAAGTTACATTGCATCTACATGCAAATAGACTGTTAGGTTGGGGTTAGGGTTAGTGTAAGTTGACATGCACTTGCAAAGTTTCATATAATCAGATGAATGTCTGTTGAAGGAAACAGATGTTAAACAGACAGTCTACTAATACTCAAATGGACCATCACAATAAAGTGTTACAGCTTACAAATATTTAATTCAGTTTAAAATTGTAAGTTAGATGGACATATTTGAGCTCAGTGTAGAGTTAACTCATAATAACCTATTTAACTGTGTGTTTACAACGGTTTATTCAATGAAAGTAATGAAGGCAGTTAAGGAGACTTTACATTCAGATTTCTTCAAATAAGTGTTTACTTTAATTTAAGAAACTCCGGGTATTAAGACTTTTATGGGCTAATAAAACACAATACTGAAACAATATAGTAGAAAGCCCATGAAAGATTTACATAATTTAAAAAGGTATACCCAATATATATAAAAAAATACCCAGCAAACTATTTTGTGTTTAATAGATGTCTAAAAGACATCTAAACTAGACAGCTTGGCTAAAACAAGGCTAAACTTGGCCTGTCATTGAAAATAATAGACATTTAAGAATAGTCCAAAACTACTGACTAGTCACCAAATAGACAAATTAGACAGACTTTATATGTTTAGTCATTCATTTCTGTTTATTTGGTGACCAGTCTAGTTTTGGCCCATTCTTAGGCGTCTATTAGAGTTTCACTGACAGCCCAAATTTAGCCTTGTTTTAGCCAAGATGAAGTCTATTAGACATCTATTAGACATCTATGAAAAACAAGAAATGCTTGCTGGGTACAATCCTCGTTTATTTTGGACTTTAAGGCTGTTATTGTTTTAGGTGCGCAGTGCATGAAGTCAGACGGTTGAACTCTGTGAGTTACTGGCACTGCTTGTTGCTATTTTTACCACAATGCAACTCTGAAAAAAAAAAAAAAACTGACATGATTCCACATTGTGTGGTTCTTGGTTGTAATTTTGAGTTGAAGGGCAGAAAGAGAAGTAAATTAAGTCTTTTCTACCACCGGTTTTTCGTTAGTGACTGACATACTTTATAATTTCTGCTCACACATTGCAAAGATATCATTATGATGTCATAGTAGAAAATAAATGATGCACACCACTGATCCATGAAATTCTTTATCCACAAACAAACATTTCCACTCCCTCATTTGCTTATTTCTTAATTAAAATAAATTTTTATATTTTTTTTACATCAGTATAAATTATTACTTTAACATATGTACACTTTTGTCCTTTTAAACAAAAAGTTGTAACATCATGTTAATATTACATGTATAAGAAAACAAAAATAAAATACAGGAAAAAAGTGGGAGAGAAGATGAAAAAAAAAAAAAAAAAAAAAATAAAAAATATGGAAGTTATGGTGTTTCTGCGAGGTTTTAATCGCTGCTCTCTTGTCATCTGCGAAGTGGCTAACCTCAAATCTTTAAGATCTTCTGTACTAATATGTATAATTACATATTTTCACTGCCTGCTACACTAAAGCCCCAATTATACTGTAAACTGAATAAAAGAACAAAAGAAATGATGTAACTTTAAACAACATCCGGACAAAACTTTTTTTTTTTCAGTTGGTTTCAACAGTTCCGGACAAGAAGCTCCACCATATCACGACACATCTTTACACATTGTTTTCTATGAATGTGCACACAGGTGGTGCCATTCGGTGTCTGTCCATACCAAATAGAAAACAATTAAAGATTTGTTGTGCTGATGTGCAAGCTGGAAAAGGCTGGTTGACAGCTGTTTACGCAATGGTTCTTTTCTCACAGCCACCATCATTGTTGTGTAATGCTGAGTTCAGACTGCATGATTTTCAAAGTAGTCGTGTCACGGATGTTTTCACACTGCATGACTATCTGGGCTAGTGCTTTTTTGCTGCTTTGTTTACACTGCAAGATAAATCGGTCACAGGGGATTTCACACTTTACAATAGGAAGAATCACCGACAACTTTGTCCAAACTACGTCTCACAACCAAACACATGTAGTATATCTTTTGTTATTAACTACATAATGGGAAAGAAGCCTTTAATGGGGTAGAAAATGTACTTATTTGCTCACCTGTTTATCAATTTCTACTTAACTTTTTTCTTTTTCGATCCAGTTGAAATATTTCTCACATGACACATCAAACAGCCAAATTTCTGTTTTTCCTCCATTTAAATAAACTGTCCAAGTAAACTGAAAATGAGCGCTTCTAACTTCTCCCCCAAGCTCCCGCTGGCCTGCAGGTACCCACGTTAGTGAATGCTGCTCTATCATTGGCTGTAGGCAATTGCTGATGCTATTTTCAGTCAAAACTCATTTCACACAGCATGATTTGAATCGCCGACAGCTTCAGATATTTATCATGCCAGATATCTCACAGGCATCAGCGACTCATTGGCTATTCTTTCAAATCACATCTTTGATAGTTCATACTGTGCGATTGTCACTTGTGTGCAAGAGCACTGATTTGTCGGTGATTTTTAAAAACCTATCGCAGAGTCAAAATCGGGGCTAAAATCATGCAGTCTGAACTCGATATTAGGGGGTACACATGAGCAGCGTGGCACATTTACAACCCCACCCCATATTAATAGAGGAGACTGTGCTGTGCAGTTTATGCCGAGTTTAGACTGCATGATTTTCAAACTAGTCGTGTCACGGATGTTTCACACTGCATGACTACCTGGGCCAGCCATCCGTCGGTGCTCTGTTTACACTGCAAGATGTATTGGCGACAGGGTGATTCACACGGCATGACTTTAAAATAGGAAGAATCGCTGACAACTTTGTCCAAACTACATTTCACAACCAAACACACGTGAGAAAACATGGAAACAATGAGAGGTCACGTAATATATATCTTGTTATTAATTACATAATGAGAAAGATGCCTTTAGTGGGCTAGAAAATGTACTTATTTTGCTCTGGCTTTGAAGGGAGCAATTTCTCTTAAACTTTTTTTTATTCTTCGACCCAATTGTGCGTATTGCTGACACGCCAAACAGACACAAGGGCTCCTGGCAAATGTCCAGTTGTTTTTCCTCAATTTCTTGGGTCCAAATAAACTGAAAAGGAGCGCTTTTAACTTCTCTCCCAGCCTCCCGCTGTCTTGCAGGTACCCACAGTAGTGAATGCTGCTCTCTTATTGGCTGTAGGTGATCAACAATGTTTTTTAGTCAAAACTCAATTCACACGTCATAATTTAAATCACGGACAGCTCCAGATATTGAGCATGCCAAATATCTCACGGACATCAGCGATTCTCTTAGATCGCGTCTTTGATACTTCATAATGTGTGATTGCTATTCGCGTGAACGAGCATTTGCCTGTGATTTCAGGCATTTGTCTGTGATTTCTTAAAACCTGTCGCTGAGTCAAAATCGGGGCTAAAATCATGCAGTCTGAACTCGGCATTAGACATACAACTTTTGCACAGTCAGTCTTCTTAGTTAGTCATTACTGGAATACACTTGCTGTTGAATTAAGGGGTATAACCAGTGTTAGGTTGTAGCTTCACTACAAGTTGTGATGCTACTAGCATAACTACATTTCTCAGTAGCGTGGCGTAAGTGTCGCAACTTCCTAAATCAAATAGCTTTTCAGTAGCGAAGCAATTTTCAGGGAGCTGTGACGCCGGTATCTAACCATTGAGAATGACGATTTCTTCTTCCTGTTTTATAGGCTGGCTGGCTGGTTTTAGCTGATTGACCAGCCTGGTTTTAGAGGGGTTTTGGCCATTTCCAGGCTGGTTTCCAGCCATTTCCAGCCTGGTCTTAGCTGGTAAGGCTGGAAAATGACCAGCTAAATCCAGCTAAAACCAGCTTGACCAGCCTGGTTTAAGCTGGACATAGCTGGTTTTGGCTGGGCTCCCAGTCTGGCTAGGCTGGTCAAGCTGGTTTTAGCTGGTCATCTCCCAGCCTGACCAGCTAAGACCAGGCTGGAAAGGCTGGAAACCAGCCTGAAAACATAAACATTTTTAATGCTAGGTTGCCTTTTTTAAAATCTGGCAGGGGGCAAAAGATAAAAACTAGCCCTTGTGGCTAACTCTGACTTATTTACAGTTTTACTTTTGATTAATAACCATTGTCCCTCTTTAAAAAAACAAAAAACCAGTCAGTCAGCCTTTCAATATCTTTTTTACCAAAACAACAAAAAATGAACAAAAATAACTTCACAGCAAAATCCTCTGAGTAATATTTACTCAGTTTAGACAGTACTCGGTCCCTCTCTAAATTGAGCTAAAGTTACTCAAGTAAATGAGACAATGAAAGAATTAATTAGGGGATGATTGAGCACTGATGATGAACACCTGCTGTTAATAAGCAGAACCACAGAAGAGAAACACCAAACTACAACTGACTACAGTCACAGCCTTTAATGAAATTAGCTGAAATGTAATACATTGAATCTCTCAAAATCTCAGCAGATTCAAAAGAAAGTAGGGAGGATGAAGAGGAGAAGGAGAAGTATGTTGGAAGACATTGCAATATCTAGATTAAGACTAGGGTACACTAGATTAAATAAAACATTACATATCATTGGAAAGCATCCTACTGGGTTATGTGAGTATTGTCTAGTAGAAGAATCAGAAGATCACATAATAAGTCATTGTCAGAAAAATAATAATGAAAGGGAAGTATTCAAGAAAATAAAGCAGGGTACAACAGAAACAAATCAAATACTTAGCCAAACAGAGTACTATAGTTATTTAATTTCATTTTTGAGGCAAACTGGGCTGATATATAAAATATAATATATACTATGAGTCTCATAATCATTCTGGTTCACACTCCAGTATAGTAGGTGGCGGTAATGCACCTTAAAGTTGGATGCCACCCGCCATAAAAAAACACGAAGAAGAAGAAGAAGAAGAAGAAGAAGAAGAAAATCTCAGCAGAGGACCCTTAAGCAACTTCACAAACAGCAGCTTTACTTATTACAAACCTGTTTGCCCTTATTCAAAGAGGAAACAAATACTCTCTGAAGTGAGTAAATTCTTCACAGAGGATTTTGCTGTGTTTGATGTATACCGAGGCCTTAAATGAGAGTGTTTCAAAAATGGAAAAGATTTGAGGAAATCTATTCAAATAAGTGTAATAACAGTGAGGCTTAACAGTTTTCCTAGGCCTACTGGATCGTATTTGTATGCACCTGTTTAAGACCAAAAATAAATAAGCATAAGAACACTGATAAACATACCGCATCTTGATGGCTGAATGCATTTGGTTCGCTGAGCGCCTTCTGCAAGATGTGGAGCGCCGACATAAGACCGCCACTTAATTCCAGGCTGTAAAGAGATTGAAAACACACTCAGCATTTGTGTCTACCCTATGTAACTACAGCGACTCTCACAATAGCTTGTGTCATTTCTTTGAGTCAGCTCACCTGTCTGTTTGTTTATTAGTGGGTGGTGTTGCTGTATCTGCTGCTGGTTTAGTTGTGGAGGATATGGCTATGTCCTGTTTCGCTGAGCCATCAGTAGAGTGTGTCGCTCCTTTCTGGGCTGTGAGGTCAGCAGTTTTTGATTGGCTAGCTTCTTGCTGAGGTTTGGCACTGGTGAATTGTGTTTGAGTGGTCGTTTGCTGAGCGGCGAAGTCCGACACATCTGTTTGAGCGAGATCTGGCTGGACGTTTGAATCAGTGGCTTTGGACTGCTGCGTCGCAGATGACAACTGGACAGAGTTTTGTTCAAGAGAAGTGGCAGTGCTTGGAGGGTTACACCCTTGAAAAACACATTGAACATCTCCCTCTGGAGGAGGTGTGGTGGTCACTGATGATTGGCTGACACAGTGCTGTACATCAGCCTCTGCTGCTGGTGATTGGGTGACATGTTGTTGGGTAGTTGCATCTGTGGTGTGTGATTGGCTGGTGGTTTGAGCTGCTGGAGTGTGATTGGTTGGTATCTGGGCAGTGCTGTGCTGAGCTGTTTGGGTAGCTGGTGTCTCAGAGGCGAGCTGTGGGATACAGGAGGACACCAGAGACTGTGGTGTCGCTGATTCCGGTAGTTTTTCCGTAGCCTCATGGTATTCGCTTGCATCGCTTTCATCTTCTGAACTTTCAGAGCTGCTCTCTTCGGAGGATGTTGACTCGTACCTGAGGGCAAATTAGTGTTGTTATTTACCAGATTGCTGCTAATTTTTCTCACAAAATCCTTATAAAATAGTTCCCAAATGGATCATCTAAACTAAATGTGTAGTTCCTGAAGGAAGCAAAAGTGCTGCGATATAACAGCTGCAGCAAAATAATACTGTTTGATTTTGTGTAGATGGAGCTTATCATGCATTTTCTTTTTAGGTTTAATTGGCAAATTTCTTGAAGTGCACAGTAAAAAATCACTAACCTAACACCAAAGTAAGTTTACAACAAAGTAGGGATGTAATGGATCATGGTTGATCCGTGATTTACACAGATCACAATCCACTGTTCGGAACACATGTGATCCGCGGATTGATACATTTTTAACTGGTATAAATCCTAAATTTGTGGGGGAAATCATTGAGAGATCACCTCTTGCATCATTTAAATCACATGTATGAAACCATTTAGGCTTTCCTGTGAAATATAATGATGAATGAAGAAGTTGTGATGGGTTATTTGGGATTTGGTGGGTTTATTAGGTTATTAAAGGTGTTTTCTGTCACTACTTGTTTACCCTGCATTAATGTTTAAGCTGCACTATTAATCATTAAAGATCAGGATCTAAACACCCACACAACATGAATTATAAATTATGGTGATTTGCATATCCTTATTAATCCTTCGAATAGCTGCATTCAAATTTGGAAATGCAAAAATCAAGAAAGAGATTCAGTCTTAAGTCATTTGAGTTAGTTATGAAGTTACAAACAATCAAATAACACAGAAGTACTGGGATAATATTTTATAGTTTAGATGAAACCACTGATGTTTTATCAGCAAGAAGGTCACTGAAATAGTGAAGGTTACTGAAATAGTTGCCGGTTCATTCCGCTGTGGCGGCTAAGTAGGAGGAAAATGAAAGAATTAATGAATTCTGCATATACCCTCCATTGACTCCTAAGAACTGCAGGTTCTTTTTGGTGTATGGAGAGCCAGGTTCCCCATCAGCCTTCCTCTTCATGATTGACCTCAGGTTAGACTGAGGGGATGCTGAACAAGACAAATACAGAAACACATGGTGAGAATCACTTGCCAAAATATCGAAATGTCTGGTTCTCTGATAGGTTAGTCATATCACACCTGGATTGGCTGGATCAACTTGAATGGCTTCTTCTGCTGGTTGCTGGTTAATCTCTCCTTCTTTTAGCCGTTGGCAGACCGCAGTCACTTGGTTGCACTTTGTCTCCATAGGAGTTGCCTGGTTGGTCACTGGCACTGATTTGGAGACCTCACTTCTCAAGACCTCCCGCACCTGCTTAGAGCTTATTGCAATGGGAAACTCATGTGGCGAATCTGAGAGCAAAACAGAAACAGTCTAAATTAGCACTGAAAATAGTCAGTTCTCTCACCCTCATGTTAGTATGACCTCTTTCTGTGATACCAAAAGGTACCAAAAAAGCAGAATACCACTGTAAACAATTTGAAAATGGTCTCCACGAATGACACAAAAAAACCCAAATAAAAGTAGTAAGGCAACATTAGATTTTCATCATGTATACAGACACTGCAACATACAATGCATATATTTAAAGTAAGAATTATTAGCCCCACAAATATATTTTCACAGTTTGTTTAATAATTTTTTTTAGAAAGTCTTATTTGTTTTATTTAGGCTAGAATAAAAGCAGTTTTAAAAAAATGATTAAACACCAATTTAAGGTCAATATTATTAACACCTTTGAGCTATATTTTATTTTTGATACAGAACAAACCATCATTATACAATGACTTGCCTAATTACCCTAAACTGCCAAGTTAACCTTATTAACCTAGTTAAGCCTTTAAATGTCACTTTAAGCTGAATAGAAGTGTCTTAAAAATATCTAGTACAATATTATTCACTGTCAAAGATAAAATAAATCGGTAATTAGAAATGAGTTATTAAAACTATTATGTTTAAAAATGTGTTGACAAAATCCAACTACAACTTCAATGAAGTTGGTTTGTCTAACTTCATTACTTTGGTCAATATTTGGCCAAACAAAAAAGTGTTACTTTAGCCCTGCTCTCCCCTAGTATTGACCACTTTCATGAGGGTGACGAAATGAAAGATTTCCTTTTTTTTTTTTTTTTTGAGAACTATATATTATATATTATATATATTATATATATTATATATATTGAAGATCTGCCCACATACAGAAAACCACATAAAGGCTTTAACTGATCTAGAGACTATGCATTTCATACACACCCCCTGCTGCTGGGGACTCTCCATATCTTCTGTGAGACGCCTCCAGTTGAGCAGGATGAGTGCAGCCCTGGGCTCTTAGCAGTGTCCCCACACCCACCACTGTGGGCTGCTCCAGCGTGTACACTTGGATGCCCACAGTCCTCTGCTGATGAGGTTGCTTAGTAAAACTGACAACAGTATGCAAGCCCGCTCCAGCCTGGCCCTGCTGATCCTGCCAGCCGAGACTGGTGGCTCTCACAGCATGGTCTACCTGAGGGCAAACTGTCTGCCTCTCTTTCTGTGCCGCTTCCACTTGCTGCTGAGCACTCTGTAGCTCTTGCATGGTTTTCCTCAGCTGAACTTCTAAAAGACCCACTTTAGTCTTGAGGGCTTCGGTTTCAGGCAGCAGACCCAAGTCCTGCTCTCGCACCCCTACCCCCACTTGACGATAACCCCTTTCTTCTGCTTCAGGCCCCACACCTACAGTTCGCACCTCCCGCTTTGCACCCGGACGAGCCCCCGCAACAATTACAGTCTCCTCTATTTCACATCCTGAGTCCTGGAGGGAGCCGGGAGTGGTGGGTGAAAGACTCCCTGTGGCTTTGTTTGCAGCTCCTGCCCCGTTTCCTGCCTCCTCCTCAGGTATGTCGATGTACAGTTCGCCTCGTGGACGGCTTCGATTGAACCCCAGCGTGTGTCCCAGGAACTTCTGACTCTTAAGTTGCACACTGAGCTGCCTCTTCTCCTCTTGAAGTACAGAGATCTTGACCTGCAGCACTGGGATGGTTTTCACTTGTTCTTCCAGCTCCCGGATCTTCCGGAGGGCAACGGCCATCTGCTCCCGCACGTGCTGCAGGTGAGCTGGCGTCGGGGAGACAGGTGTGGACAAGCCGGAGCTCATTGGTGTATAGGAGCCCCCTCCTTGGGCACGATTAAAGCTGTGCGCACTGGACAGAGATGTATTAGAGCCAGCCATACTGCTGTGCATGCTGCCCAAATTTGAGAAACGGCGACCATCTTTCTCTTCCTCCAGCTTCCGGCGAGCATCCATTAGGGTTTTCTCTACACGTGCTGTACTGAAGTTGGGTCTCTGCGAGGTGTGGAAGCCTGGTGCACAGTAAGAATATGATGAGTGCCGGCTGTCCATGCTGGCATTGGAGCACAGGGACTCTGTGGAGGTCCACCAGGAGCCTGTGTAGCCGTAGCCACGTGGAAGCGAGCCATAACGTGGGCGGCGCTGCACTGGCACCTTCTTAATAGTGTTTCCTTTCTCAATATCATTGACATACTTGAGAAAGTCAAGGTCCAGACGGTATCCGTAAGGAGTTTCTACTGAATATGGAGCCTCTTGGTCCTTTGCATGCAAGGAGGGGGGCACCGGGGGGTTAATCTTCCCTGAGGACAGAGGAAACAACTTTAAACTGCAGGAAATCTCAGTCTAATCTTGGAATCAGACAAGAATAGACTTCAGGCTGTGACCAGATCAAGGCTTTACTTTAATAGCTTGTGTGGATGAACTCTGGATCTTACCAGGAAAACTGGAGTCCATATGAAGCACCTGAGCCATGATTGTCATTCACCAGCCAGTCTCTCCTGAAAAAAAAAGAAGGATTGCAAGTCACAAATACTGTTACATTTTCCTGTTTAACTCATGAACTCTTTAAGGCCAGATACCAAATCTAATTGGCAACTCTCAGACAAAAAAACTGAAAATCCAGCAAAGTTCCGCTGGAACAACAACAATAAAGTTGTTGTTAATACAGACTTTTATCTAGACTTAAAGGATTAGTTCACCCAAACAATGAACATTATGTGATTTATTCCTCATGTTGTTCCAAACCCTTGAGACCTTCATTCATCTTCAGAACACATATTAAGATATTTTAAGTGAAAAGTAAAAGTTCTCTCATCCTCAATAGACAGCAATAGTCACGACTAGTTCAAAGTCCAGAAAAATACCAAAAATCATGCTCAAAACTGACCATATGCCTTCAGTCAATAAATCAGAAAAGTACAGTTTTATTCCTTAAATGTGCACATTAGTACCTCAAAGTACAGTTTTATACCTTAAATGTGCACATTAATTCCCTTAAAGTACAGTTTTATACCTTAAATGTGCACATTAGTACCTTAAAGTACAGTTTTATACCTTGAATGTGCACATTGGTACCTTAAAAGTACAATTTTATACCCTGAATGTGCAAATTGGTACCTTAAAAGTACAATATTATACCTTAAATGTGGACATTAGTATCTTAAAGTACAGTTTTATACCTTAATTGTGCACATTGGTACCTTAAAGTACAATTTTATACCTTAAATCTGCACATTGGTACCTTAAAAGTACAATTTTATACCCTGAATGTGCAAATTGGTACCTTAAAAGTACAGTTTATTACCTTGAATGTGCACATTGGTACCTTAAAGTACAATTTTACAACTTAAATGTGCATATTGGTACCTTAAAAGCACAGTTTTATACCTTAAATGTGCACATTGGTACCTTAAAATACAATTTTACAACTTGAAATGTGCACATTGGTACCTTAAAAATACAGTTTTATACCTTAAATGTGCACAGCGGTACCTTATAAGTAAAAGTTTTTACCCTAAATGTGCACATTGGTACCTTAGAGTACAGTTGTATACCGTAAATGTGCACATTGATACCTTACAGTACAGTTTTATACCTTAAATGTGCACATTGGTTCCTTAAAAGTACAATTTTATACATTAAATGTGCACATTGGTACCCTAATAGTACAATTTTATACCTTAAAGGTGCACATTAGTACCTAAAAAGTACAATTCTATACCATAAATGTGCACATTCGTACAATAAAAGTACAATTTTATACCTTTAGGGTACACTTTTGTTTCTTGATAGTACTATGAGGTTCACATTTATACTTTTTAGGTATTAAGTTGTACCTTTAAAGTACACATGTGCCCACCACAGTGAAAGGTTTTGTACCTTTATTTCTGAGAGTGTAGGGTATGCATGAACAAGAGTGCTTTGCTCTTTGTGCATGTCATGCTTGGTCACCTGCTAACTTATATGTCTAGATGCCTGTGTTTTAAACAGAGGAAGCTACGCACTGGTATTTGGGGTATACATCAGTGCACAGAGCTCATGAACATGGTGAGGAGAAGAAACTGTTCAGATATTAACAGATAAAAGCATATATTTTTGTTTTTTGTGTGCGCAAAAATATTCTCATTTCTTGATGATATATCGATTGAACCACTGAAGGAACTATGGTCTGTTTTGAGGATGATTTGGTACCTTTCTGGACTTTAAATGAGTCGGATTATTGCTTTCTATGAAGGACGAGGGAGCTCTTAGATTTCATCCAAGTTATCTTGATTTGAGTTCTGAAGATGAACGAATGTTTCAGGGTTTTGGAGTGACATAAGGGTGAATAATTGTTAACATAATTTTTAGGTGAATTTTGATTGAACTGTTTGGGTCTAATTATTTAGTTTGGACCTGCTTTGGTGGGTGTTCAAGCCTTATTTGGGGAATCCCTGTAATTTGTTTCCTGCAAGATCATCTATTAAATTTAGACTGTTCTGTTTCTGTTTGTTTCTAGTTCTCCAGTTTGTAGGAGAGGGGGGAAATAGGGGAAAGTTCCCTGGCAGGCGACAACAGTAGAAAGAGCTTCTAGTTACAGCCTTATTAGGAATCATCTGAATACGCTCTGTGTGATTCTCAGAATCGAGGTACTGTAAAAAACACAGACACAGGCACTGTTGCTTGCCCTTTCTCCCCCACACTTTTTTTTTCCATGATTTCTATCTTTCTTTCTCTCCCTTATTTTTCCTCACTCAGTCAGCTGATGATCAGGAGATAGCAGCTGACCTCTGCTCAATCTTTCTTCTTCCGCTCTCCCAGTTGCCTATTTCAACCGAAGCAAAGCATTCCAGCCATAAATCAATTAGGTGAAACGAAACCAATGTAGGCCTTACTGTTCTCATTTTTTCCTCTCTTTCATCTGCTTCCTTCAGTCTTGTGCTTTTAGACTGCTCTCTTTTTCCATGCAGCATTGCATCTTTCCCAGCTAATGTTCCTTTTTGCCAAAGATTAACTTTCTAGGTCATTAGTTAGTGGGAAGGGGGTTGCTGTATGCTTTAGCAATCTCTAGCACTGGCAGTGCCACGAGGTATATCTCTGTTCCCCACATTAACAGCACATTAGACCACACAGTTAAACTTGAACTTTACAAATATTTCAAAGAGAACCGCTGACTGCTCCAGTCATTTCGGTTCATGATGGGAAATCGCTTCTCCCTTGCTGCCTCACACAGAACTTTTCTGCCTCGGTCTAATCTCATGACCCTCTCAGTTCTGTTTATGTTCCTGCCTGTTTGAGAGAAAAGTAGGGCATACGGAAACACTGACTGAACTGATTTGGTATTTTTTGGAGATTTTAAGTTGACATAATGAGCTCTCTTGCCCACTGTCCTTCCTGTGTGCTTTAAACCTAGATTGAACAGCACTCTTAGTTGTTTCATAGTGTACAGTATATTTTAAATATCCTATTTCAATTTTGGCACCAAATAATGTTATGAATGTATCTCTATTATGCAGCTGTTAATTAAATATACTAGTTATTACTGTATTTTTTCCATCAGCGATTTCATGCAGAATAGTTTGTAAAGTTTTTTGTTTTCAATGCAGACCTTCATTTTAGGTGTAATAGTTGTAGTTTTAAGGTGTAGTTTTAAAAGGTGTAGTTTTAAAGCGTTAAATGATTCTGGGTAATAATTTGGAAAACATGGTTAACAGTAGAGTTGGCCATTAAATGGCAAAAGTGCAAATATCATATTCATTTGTACCTTTTCCAACTGCAACCCAGTACTGGGAAACATCCATTTACACACATACACTATGGTTAATTTAGCTTATTCAATTTACCTGTAGTGCATGTCTTTGAACTTGGAGGAAACCGGAGCACCCGGAGGAAACCCACGCGAACACGGAGAGAGCATGCAAACTCCACACAGAAACACCAACTGACCCAGCTTTTATGTGGCTTTACACATTCAATTGCCTTTTGGAATTATTTCTTACAATCAATATGGCATGCTGTGTGCACTTAATCTTGCTCACAAACCTTTAAAGTAGTCTACAATTCCCAGGTGAGTGAAATTCTTATATACTTATATACCAAATCAGTTTTATTTAAGATCATTTACCATTTATAATGTTCTTTAGACCTGCAATGCACTCCAGAATCTGACAAATTGATTAGCTGTACATTGTCATACAGTATTATGCCAGGATTTCATAAATATCCTTGCATTTACTAACACAGACTATATCTGAAGTATTTGGAAGTAATTTGCGTTTTCCTTCTGTAGAAAAACATCATTAGTAGCTCAATGTATTTCAAACTGTTTTTTAGTCTAAACCCTTTATTGATTTAGTGTACAACCAAGCACATGTGGTCAGAATACAAATGAGTTGCTGTTAATGAAGTATTAAGCGTTTCTCCCAAAGAAAAGCCCATCTAAGCAAAATGCTAGCAGGCATCTGTAGCTCAGCTCATGCTCCGCCTCTTTGCCCTCCTGCCACACCAATTTGAAGTTTTTAAATGTATTAATTTATTAATATAGTAAAACATTTTTTATTATTAATGTCAGGTTAACAATAACAGCACCATACAGATTTGTTACGTAGATTGTACATGAGTTTTACAGAGAAGTAAAGCATCAAATAAGCACATTCAAGAGAAAAAAAAATAAACTAAACAAACAACAAATAATACAAAATCGTTCTAGTGTACTGTTGAAGTTCCATTTCAAAAACAATAAAACAACGTTGAGAGAATTTACAGCGGTGTATAGGGAATTTCGCAAGGATTAAAAGGGGATTAATAATGAAATATTCCTTACTTTTATCATCAGGGGTTTCATTTGTGCCCTACAGAAACCTATGGGTGACGTCATTGATACTACTTCCATATCTTTTACAATCTATGGGGTTTACCCATTTGTCAACAAATTTTTTGCCAATAAAAATACTATAAAATTTACAACGATCGCTTATTCCTCGCTTATCGCTTATTAACACAGATTTGTGTGTGTGTGTGTGTGTGTGTGTGTGTGTGAAAAGTGATGGTTAGTGCTGTGGAGAGTGCTGACGGGGGGAATTGTTTATTTCTTATATATATATTTTAGCAAGTGTGGTCAAGACACACTTACATATTCTAAATTTCACATTAAATATATGTTATACATTAAGCAAGGCAAGGCAAGTTTATTTATATAGCACATTTCATACACAGTGGCAATTCAAAGTGCTTTACATAAGCAAGAATAAAAGAAACAAGTAAAAAAAAAATAAAAACAAATAATAAAACTGATTATTATATGAATGATGATAGAAATTTGTCCATAATCAGACAACTTATTTAAAACCTTCAAACAGGCCATTTGCTTGCATTTATAATAATAATAATAATAACAATAACAACAAAAACAACAACAAAAACAATAATAATAATAATAATAATAATAATAATTATAATAATAATAATAACAACAATATTATTAATAAAAACAACAACAACAACAACAACAACAACAACAACAACAATAATAATAATAATAATAATAATAATAATAATAATAATAATAATAACTCCTTACATGTCTAAGGCCTTTTTCTGGATACTCAAAGCGATTTACACATTTTTAGGGGGACATTTAATTTACTGACATACAGTTGTGGGGATAAAGTAAAGACGGTAAAAAAACACGCACAGTTTTAAAAATGTTTCAAAACTCATTCTTGATCACATTTGATAATGACTGATGATCACAGAGAGCGAAACAGATCTTTTTAAAGATCTGTTTAGATCCTGTTAAACCTTCTCATTTTAAGGCTTTTGGTCAGCCTTAAAAGGAGAGGGATTTGGATCCTATTTTAACATCAGGAAATTAAAAAATAACAGACTTACTGTGTTTATATCGCCCATTTCTATAGCCCTTTTCTGGATACTCAAAGCGCTTTACACATTTTTGGGGGAAGTCTCCTCATCCACCAATAGTGTGCAACATCCACTTGGATGACACAACGGCAGCCACATTGTGCCAGACCACACACTACACATTAGCCGATTGGTGGAGAGCAGTATTGAGTCCCCTTTATTATAATGGGGCATTAGGACCCACACAGACCACAGATTGAGCGCCCCCTGACACCACTTCCGGCATCAACCTAGCTTTCCCATGTGTTCTCCTATCCAGGAACTGAACAGGTGCAGCCCAGCTTAGCTTCAGTAGGCGACCATGTGAGAGTTGCATAGAGCTAGCTGCCGGCTAAAATTGTAGCATCACCTTTTACTTTCATTAAAAGGGAAAAAATCTCATTTTTCCAATTTAAATTGACATGAGGTCAATGCTGAATGTAAAAAAAAACACACTTTTATTCTTAGTGGACATTTCAACCATTTGGTAGAAGCTAGGGGAAAAAAAAGGAAAAAACAAGAGTCCACAAATCCATGAAAAACAAACATTGAATGTTATTTCTGAGTGTGCCAATAAAATATATTAGACTGCAGAAAGAGGAAAACAAGGTCTCACAAGACAAAAGATTTGATTAAAACATGCCAAGCTGCTTTAGTCAATATCATCTTAATTAGTGGGTTTTTTATTCCCTTGCCACAGCCACAGATGAACGTTGAGTACGCTTGAGAAAGTGTGTGTATGTTTGTGTGAAAGTGAGAGCTAACATAGATTTGTGTGCGTGCGTGCATGTGTGTGTGTGAACAGTGAGTGTTAGTGCTGTGGAGAGTGCTGACAGGGGGACGGTTGATAAGCCATAATTAGAGACTCCAGTAAAGTCACGCTGCATGACAAACATTCAGCCTTCAGCAATAACACACAAACTGCCCTGTCTCTCTCAATATATTGTAGCAGACACACACTCGATCTCTCTCTGTCTCCAACTCTTATCTACCGACTGCTCAAATTTTACGGGAAAAAAACTCTGTTACTCTAGTTCATATTAAAGGGCATCTATTTTACCCCTTTTTCAAGATTTAAAATGAGTCTTTTGTGTCTCCAAAATGTGTCTGTAAGGTTTCATCTCAAAACACCCATAAGATTATTTATATTAGCTTTCAGAGTTTGTAATTTTCAGCTTTGAACACAGTGTAGCTGTTTTTGTTGCCTATGCCTTTAATGCTGGTTCTCCCTGCTCACCGTTTCAACGTGCCAGTCAGATTGTGCCTCAATCTCCGCCTTGGCTGCGTCAGATAAACAGAACAAAGACAGACATGAAGGAAGCAGATCTCACGTAATATTTGTGAGAAATACTACAGTAAGAACTGTCCCAATGATTATTTGATGTATTTGTTGTGGAGTTAATTCAAGATTTCTGCAACAATGAGTCAAACACGAAGTCTTTACAAAGTTCACGCACCACACACACAGACACACACACAGACACACACACACACACACAGACACACACAAACACACACACACACACACACACACACACACACACACACACACACACACACACACACACACACACACACACACACACACACACACACACACACACACACACACACACACACACACACACACACACACACACACACACACACAGAGAGCGAGCGTTTAACTTTGCACTGTTTTTGCACTACAAATGTAACAGGATACACGTTAATATGCACTGCTGTATGGACATTCGTAATATTAATGTACAAAACAAACCTGATTCATTGTCCACAAACTGGGATTAAATTACTGACATGCAGTCGTGGGGATAAAGACGGTAAAATCGCTGTAATTAATTACAAACACGCAGTTTTAAAAATGTTTTAAAACTCATTCTTGATCACATTTGATGATGATTGATGATCACAAAGAGCGAAACAGATCTTTTTAATCACAGTTGCTTTGCGCATGTCCTGTTTTGCTGATATGATTATACGCGTTATTGCGAAGACATGTTCATACGTGGCTGCCAATCAATTCGGTGGGCAGGAAAAGCGCACACCTGCATTATGCTGTGGTCAGGAAATGTTTAAAAAGAGACTTATTGTGTTTATATCAGCCTAATATGACACAATTCTGTCCAAACAGCTTATAAAAATTATTTTCATCATACGTGCCCTTTAAAGGTTTATATCTGAATAAACCCCTCTGTGTTACTGTTAGCTCAGCGTGGAGCTTATTTTGTTTCATTTGTACCGCATTGTTTGTTCTACATCAAATAAAGCAGCTTATCTCATTTTCTAAGCGGCCATAACCTACTTATGACTTTCATCTGGCAAGCGATAAGGCAGGCATACAGTATCTGCTCACATCTCAAGACCAAAAATATCACAGAGCCAAATAGATGGGCTTTTTTGACTTTCATGCACTTAGCAGTGCTTAGCAACCATTAGCATATCCTAGCAATTTGCATAGCAACACACTAATTATGTTTTCACACCAGTAGATTGCTTGCTTTGCTCCAGAACTGAATTAATAATGTTACAATCATAGGCTGTTGCAAAAGTTTGCTTTAGAAGACAACAAGCTCTGATTTATTTATTTTTACACATCATACTTTATACCATATTTTAATCCATATGCTTAGTCCCTTTATTCATCAGGGGCTGCCACAGTGGAATGAACCGCCAACTTATCCAGCATATGTTTTACACAGCAGATGCCCTTTCAGCTGCAACCCAGTACTGGAAAACACCTATACACACTCACATTCACACACATACAATATGGCCAATTTAGGTTATTCAGTTCACCTGTACCGCATGTCTTTGGACTGTGGGGAAAACAGGAGGACCCAGAGGAAACACACGCAAATACAGGGAGGACATGCAGACTCCACACAGAAACGCCAACTGACCTAACCAGGACTCAAATTACCAAACTTCTTGCTTCTAGCAGGGGCGTCCCCAAGGGATAAACTCTGGCCACCCCAATATGACTTTGCTGTTATTATTAATATTTTAAATGTATTTATCCACAACATTTCAAGAAACATTCATTTATTCATTTTCTTTTCGGCTTAGTCCCTTTATTAATCCGGGGTCGCCACAGCGGAATGAACCGCCAACTTATCCAGCAAGTTTTTATGCAGCTGATGCTCTTCCAGCCGCAATCCATCTCTGCGAAACACACACACAAACACACACAATGAACAATTTAGCCTACCCAATTCACCTGTACCACATGTCTTTGGACTGTGAGGGAAACCAGAGCACCCAAAGGAAACCCACACGAACGCAGGGAGAACATGCAAACTCCACACAGAAACGCCAACTGAGCCGAGGATCGAACCAGCGACTCAGCGACCACCTTGCTGTGAGGCAAACGTGCTACCCACTGCGCCACTGCGTCACCGTTAAAATAAATCAGTTATTAGAAATCATTTTTAAAACTATTATGTTTAGAAATGTGTTGAAAAAATCTTCTCTTTCTTAAACAGAAAAGGGGGGAAAAAGCTGGGGCTAATAATTCAGGGGGAGGGGGGGGGGGGGGAATTCTGACTGTATAATATTAGAGTCTGTGTAGAGAGTCTGTGTATGTAGCAATGCCTTTTGTTCAGTTTGTTCATTTGCCTGTTTTATTAATTAGTTCATTAATTCATTAATTTTAGACATGGCATGTACTCTATGCTTTACAACAAACAAGAAAAATAACTGAACTGAAAAGTGTATTTAAACTAAATATTGATTTTACTTTGGTTTGCACATGTACTTGCTGAATTATTTCAAGGAGTAAATAGCAGTATTTTAAAGGTAAATAATTAAATCACTTAAAATAACATTATTTGATTGATCAGAAACAAAAATATATAACATTACACTGAATTCATTACTTTTTGTGTGCCACCCTATTTGGGCACCCCTAGGAATTTTTTTTCTGGGGGCACCACTGGCTTCTAGCTTATGCAAGACATAAAACGTTCAAGTATTTTTGCAGCACTAAATGTGTGGAAGCTCTTATATTAAAGGCTATTTCCTACACAATGTTAGCTTTATAATGCATTAACATGTACATTTTGTTTTTATCAGCCGTTTTTCAAAGGATAGGTGGCATTTTCTTTCATTTTTTTCTGTTTTGGTAATGAAATACCATGAAATATTTACACCTCATGTGGTGACTGTGTTGAATGTGAGACTGTGACGTGCGATTGACTGGAACTCGCGTGGGACATTTCACTGCTGAAATTCCAAGCTCTGACTTTATCTGGAACGCAGCATTAAAGCTCACATGCGTGCTTAGTGAAGTACTGATGCCATTTTTGTCACAGCTGAACACATGCCACACTTGATGCCATTGTATCAGTTAAGAATCACCTGTTCAATTCAGCCAGAGCCTTGAATGCTGTGTCAGTAAGACGGCAGCAGTGGAATAAATATTGGAAGAGGCAGAGTTAGAGAGCTCCACCCTTTTAGTTGTGAGAGTATTAAAAATGGTGTTGGAAGGGAACCTGACCATCTTTAAACTCCATCTATGGTTACAATGTTGCAATTTAATCTTGCTAGTTTTCAATGTACAATAAATCGTTGAGTACAGTGAACTCCCATCTCTATGGTCAGATAGCACCTGTTTAAATCTGTCAGATGGGATGGACAGCAGCCCATGTGCATATTGTGGCTTTCTGTGTAGCTCTTGTTATATTATTGTATTATTTTATTAGTTTAAGCAAGAACCAAGTAATTCAGTGGTATTTTATGAGCTATTTTCATGTACTTCACAATGTTTTTGCTCCAGATTAACCCACAATTCATTTTTAGGTGCATCAGAAACAAACTCTGCTATTTTTTATGTGGTGTGCATAAATTATTGTGATAAGTCAACAAAGGCTCTTTCTGAAATAGTAGCCCTATTTACATTTCTGGCTGCATTTCATCTTTACAATGAACACTACAGGGCGGTATGACGCCGCTCCTCCAGCTGGCAAGCGGTCAGCCTCCATATGGAGGCTCAACATGTTAGTTGGCGGACTTGAGACGCAGAGATAAGTTGACCATGAATGGGGTTAGAGTCTGGTAAAGAACATTTCCAGAAAGTGGACAATAAAATGAACAAGTAAATAATAGGGTGAGAATGTGGTAAAATCTAAAAAACGTGGTAAAAATCAGGCAAGGGCTTTTCTTCTTCTGGATTACTTTTTGAAAACACTGCGGTTAGGTTTAGGGAAGTGGGTGGGTGGGTCAATCAGTGCTTTTGGAAACATTATAAGTTGGGAGGAGGGTGTGTTAGTCAATTAGTCAGTCAGTCAGTCAGTCAGTCAGTCAACAGCAGCCTCTGGTCGATTTACGTGAGAACAGCAGGCGCAAATGGCACTATAGCGAGAGAAATTTGAGATAGAAGCTTACACAACGGTCTCTGGTGGATTCGCGAAAACCAAAACTGCAAACCAAAACTGCAAAAAATGTAGCTCCTGTGATGTATTTGGTGCTCTTCAGAAATGTATATGGGGTATGTATTCTCAATGAGCCTGGGTTGTAAAAAGTCCACTAGGTTTCCTCTCTGATGATGCTCTCTTATAATTTTATGGGTAACACTTTACAATAAGTTTCATTAGTTAATGCATTTAAAAACACTACACTTGTACAGCATTTATTAATCATAATTAAAAACCTACTAATGCATTATTAACATCCAAACTCATGCTTGGTAACATTAGTTAATGCACAGTGAGTTAACGAACTCACAATAAACTACTGTATTTTCATTAACTAATGGTGACTAACATGAACAAATACTGTAGTAAATGTATTGTTCAATGTTTGTTTATGTTAGTAAATGCATTAAGTAACATTAAATAATAAACCTTATTGTAAAGTGTGACCAGTCTATGATCAGATTGCTGTTAGTTTGCTGTGAAGAGATTTACATTTTAAAATACAATACAATTGTAAAGTCAGTGGGAACTTCCTGCACATCCTGACATTTGTTATTCAGCCCATCATGGTACTATCATTTCTACTGAGTGGTATGGTTCAATACAATTCAGTACCAAAACAGTGAACTGTACCATACCACTTTTTGGCACCCTTTTCTAAGACTAACTAGCACAATAGCGTGATACTAAAAGGTGAAGGTAGACTTTTTGCTGAATGTTGTTGGTCTAAAGAGAAAAAAAATAGTTTATTCAGCAGTTTTTTGTTGTAGTTGAGGTGCTATTTAGCTCTGCAAAGTGACTCTTTGGCTTGTAATCATAAGGGAGTAAATTTAAGTATTATAAAGCACCAGTAATGGTTCTTTAGTGGGT